TTTAATAATGTATTTTAAAAACTTTATTAAGTAAACTTGTTTTTTATATTCTTAAATATATTAATATAAATTTTTATGTTATTTTATTCATTAGTTATTGAAATATTCCAAAAATAAAATTGATATATTGTCCAATTATTTTTTTTTCTGCTGCAAATAAGCATTAAATGCGAGACATTTATTAAAGTTTACCATCATTATATTAAGAATCCTATACCATCTTATTTGGTAGGAGTTAATCCTAACTTATTGCATAAAAAAACTTCTAATTTGTGAAAACACCAAATAAGTAGTAACAAACTATCGGTGGTTTATAAATAACTAATGCCTCATCAGGAAATTTTTGAGCAGAGAAATTCCATATATCTCTGCATATCTCCACTATCATTAGAGATCTCCGGAGAATCAAAAAATATATATATAAATTTTGAAAATCTCCGAAAATTTATATATATTTTTTTGATTTTTCAGAGATCTCTAACGATAGCAGAGATATGCAGAGTTCCTTTGCTCAAAAAATTTCCTGATGCTATTAATAAATAGCTAAGTTAAAGTAAATATAAATATTTTTTTTAGTAGTATAGAAGATTTTCAGAAATTTAGTCTTGATTTGGTAAATTTTTATTAAGTCTTTGTATGATATTGTTATTATTGTTATTCCTAACAGGTTAATACTAGTTTGGTTCTTGTTAAGTTGAAGTGTCAAAATTGGATTGGCCATTGGAATTGTGTAGATCATTTAAAGGGGTTGAGCTGGTTTTGGTTTTTGATTTTGAGAAAATTTTTGATATTGTTAAGATGGCGTAGTAAGGCATATTATATTGTTATTTGAAAGGGTTTGGTTGAGACAAGTAGGAGAACCCAAAACTTTACTTAAATATACTTTTAGGAATAAATTGGTAATGTTAAGAATAGTAAAGAGAATATTTATAATAAGAATAATAAAAGAGGAGGTATATAAAGACAAAGTTAAGAAGGAGAACTGACATGAACCTTTTTCCATGCAATTAAGAAACAAGCAAAACTCTCAAACTTGTTTAACCTTTGATTAAAGGTCACATCCCAATGCAACAGTAGTCTTTAAAGTCCTTATATCCTTGAGTTTATGACATATTTGATATATTGAAGAGAGAAAGAAAAGCACTTCTTTTAAGAAAATTACCATAAAAGAAAATTTTCAAGAAATCAGTGATAAATGGGTGAGAATTTTTTTTTCTATTATTTATATTGTCCAATTATTTTTGATCTATATTGTATATTAGCATATTAATATAATAGATAATCAGATTAAAAACTCTTTTCTAATTGCATTTATTTTGTTAAAAAATTTTTTTTATATTAATTTTAAGCAAGAAAAAATGGTTTATACTTTTTATTACAAATAAGCTTTAGCTTAAGAACTTAAAAAATTAAAATAACTTTTTTTTTTTAAAGCAAAAGCTTTTAAATTTTTGAAAAAATTTTTTATGAAAATTACAAATTGAATAGTATTTATTTTAAAGTTTTATCTGAAGTTTTTTTATAAAAAAATTGTTTACATTGTTTTTTAAATATATTATTATTAAATTATAAAGTTTTAAAAAAATTTTAATAATTTCAAAAAATGGTAAACTTTAATATTTAAATTTAAATATTAATAGAAATTAAAATTTTATTAATATTAAATAAATAAATAAATAAATAAATTTATATTAAACTTAATTTTTAGAAATATATATATTTAATAAATATAAAAAAGTATAATAATAATAATAATAAATAAATAAATAAAAAAGATACAAATATATATATTCTATAATCCTATATTTCTAAATTAATTATATTAACTTATAAAAATTAATTGATAATATTTTAATAATCTTGTATATTATCAAAAATAAAGTATTTAATAATATTATTTTAATATCAAATTGATATCAAATTTATTATAAGTTTAATATAGTAAATTACAATCTATATATCAAATTTATTATAATTTGATACTATTTTAGTATTATTTCAATATTGATTTTAAACTCTAGTCAAAAATCAGAATTATATTATATATATATTTGACAATTGTTTAAGAATATAATTTAAACTTTTAAATTATCAAAATAAATTAAATATTTTTGAAGTGTTTATATTATTAGATACAATATGGATCCTGTGATATAATTACAGATTAAAATTATAGTAGAATTTTTACTTTTTAATAAACAGTCTTACCTGACATATAAACTTACTAACTGATATAAGTTTGTATAGTTGAATTTATAAATGAATTGACTTTATTAAACTTATAGTTAGTGGTAATATTAACTTGTATAAAATTGTATATATGTGGTTTGAAATATAATTTCAATAAAAACAAGGTATTAAAAGTCTTATCATCAAATAAATAAATAAATAAATTAATTGATTGTTATTTTTTAATAAATATAATTATTTTATTATATAAATTGTTTGTATCTTTATTTTTAAATGATTTATAAATAGTTTACAACTTTTAATTGCTATAATTATTCAAAGATTATTTTTAATTGAGATTCATTTAACGATTGTTTAAAAAAATTTGATGGGATTCTTTTGAAATAATGTTTCGAACAATCATATGAGATATCTGATTATTTTCTAAGTTGTATTTTCTTGTATAAGACTTGACGACATATTAATATTGTATCATTGAATTCTATGTCCATTTGATTGATTTGTATAATTATCATATATCATTTTTGCAAAAATCCCTTTTTTTTTATTGATGACAACGATCATACGTTTTCAATTTTTTTTTGGTGATATCATTTCATATGATAATTATGTTTTATTAAACCACAAGTTCTATTATTCGACGTGTTTTAATTGTCTGAGCAATTGATAGCCTAACGTATGATTATTTGATATAAATTGTGCTGTCATTTATAAGGATTTGTATGTCGAGATATGGAGAAAGGCTTGAAGAAGGTTTTAAACTTTTTTTGCCATTAGAAATAAAAATGACAATTTTTCAGCCGATAAAAATTACCTTGACACCAATCAGTTAGACTGTATACCGTATAGTGTATGGGGAGTGTATGTATGTGTAGTGTTCATCGCCAAATAAGAAACACTTGATATCTTGTTATAGCATAATTTCAGTTTCAGCTTAACCAACTTAACCAATCCGTCCATTGGCACATGATATAAATCACGTGATAAAAAGTCATATTGTTTCAGCCATCCATTTCGGGAAACATCTTTTGCGCTACGCAATTTGGAATCTTGTTCTTTCGGTGGTACACAATTTATTCGATCTTTGTACATGCATCGTAATGTATTGTTTGTTAGATATTTACGTTTCATCGTGATACATTTCAATCTGACCAACTCCTTGACAACTGCTTATTAAAGTCACACGTCGTAAAGTCAACTTTAAAAATCCGGGATTTCCATTCTATACAAATAGACTAGCTTAGTTCTTTATCGCAAGATATCCCCTCTTTCTATGGTTGCCCCAGATTTGACCTCGTAGATGCATTCCAGATTCGTCAATAATATTACAGTCACAAGAATCCGAGCTTGCGCGCGCCCTTATTTTAATATACTGTATAACGATAAGGAAAATTTTTTTGGTTACTCCTGTCGTACGCACATACAGAATAGACTAGATGTGTTTGTAACAAACACTTGTACGGATTTTTTTCCGTTAAAAGATGATATGTTACTTGAGTATATAACCCAGTTTATCATGCACAAAATAATTTATTTTTCTTTTTCCTCCTATATTCCTCACCTTTAGGAGATTTCGTATTTATATAATACGAAGTTTTCCCAATAAATTACATTGCCGTTCCTTATAATCGTCAAGGTCCTAAGCACGACACGTGCTCCATATTACATTACGCATAACAGATAAATTACATACATAAGATGTTGCATCCTTTGGTGATGCAATTTTCATAATCCGAACGGGGAAAATCATAAAATCATAAAAAGTAAAAAAGGATTTCTGATTCACTCTTTTATTCAGAGACGATAAACAAGAAGGAATAAGGCGAGACAGGTCTTGCTTAATTCCTATTTTTTTAAAAAAAAAAAAATACATACATACATACACCAGTACACACCACACTCGCAAGAGAAATGGTTTCGTCTCAGAAAAGGTCATCTCATCGTGGGCCCGATAAAAAATCAAACCTTCACTTGATCATCAAAGCGCCGAATAAAAATAAATCAGTAAAACTTCATCTTACCAAAAAAATGCGTACCTCCTCACAAAAGTTCACTTTCTCCTCGATATCATCGATTCTGTTTGTAATGTTTGCATACTTGATAATACCGACATACTCAATACCAGTTCCACCAGCGACTTCAATGCAGTGGCCCTCACCATCGATAGATACGTCGGATGACCTGAATAATAACGGTACTAGTTCTGACGGCGGCGGAACGTCAAGTTCGCCGAATAAGATGGAAGTAATGAACTGGATTCTTGCTGCCATATCAATAGTCATAGTGGTAGAGCTGATATTTTGGTTGTTCAAGTGTATTAATATGGTTCGAAAGGGTGTGACTGGAGGTGAGGACGATAGGAATCAAGACAATAACGGACAATCAGAGGCTGCATCTAATGGACTCGACGATGAAGAGCTACCACCTTATGATGGGTTATCTTTGCCTAAATACTGTGAGGCTATGGAAACGAGTAATAACGATAACGAACAGTTGAGAAGTTCACCTTTAGCAGAAGATGAGAATTCATTAACCGCCGTTGTCGCTGGCCAAGAAGACAATAATCAAGATCACAACGGAAGCGTGGAAGAGATCAATCGCATTAGTAATCAGACGTCGACAGTGGTGGTAGAGATGAATCATGTGTCAAACGTAGCAAACGCGGTGATAGATGATGCCAGGCCATCATCATCGACGGAAGAACCTTCTAGCTGATAAAGACAACAGACACAGAGTTCTGAAGAAATACCTTGGTACCTTTTTTGCAACCTCCCAACCTACGATATTAATGTAAAACCGACGCGTACTTCTCTTAGCTCTTAGCACAGTGTCTTGCTTACAAGTGGGCAGGTGCGCGGAATGTGGAAATCCATACGCAAGAAAAAAAAAATGACGAATTTAATGTTTTCAAAGTAATTTAGCGTATCTCTCAAACGATAGATACAACACATTATCTATTTATCACTTTACACCTTTTGTATTATAATGGATGGTTTAAAGTACTGGCAATTCTTTGTTACTGTTTTTTTTTTTTTTTTATCCTTTTTCTCCGTGTAGAAGAAAAAAAAATTGTTTGACACCGTTTTTTTTGCTTCCCGCATGATTGGTGCTACGCATCTCTCCTTGAAATGCATCAAAAAGTTTTTACTAAATTCAAATGTATCGAGTTTTATATTGTATATAAAGTTAAACTCGTTCATTGAAAAAATGATCTTTAATAAAAGAAAACTTTTATCGATCTCGCTAAATGTGTGTATGACACGATTTATTAAAGTTCTGTTAACCACTAGAATTCTCATCAGTAGAACCACCAAAATATCGACGGCAACAATTTGGAACGAGTATCAATTTTGAAAGTAACCCCCGTAACCCCCAAAATTTCTGAATCTCGAAATTATAAAGAAAAGTTTTTGTGCTACAGTTCGAATTGTTGATAGAAAAAAAATTGTGATCACAATGCGGCAATCAAAATCGACCGACGTCCCGTCCAAAGAAAAACGTAAGAAACCTTAAAGTTTTCAAAGGTTAAATGAATATGAATCAAGATTTAGATTTCACGTATCTCCTTTCATTCGCGATTTGCTTACCAGTACATGGGACTGAAAATTATTTTAAACAAACAAATAGATATTGAGTAAATCAGTTGTCACACTAAATATATTCTAAACTTCCACTAAACAACTTACATCAGCATCTTGTTCCTAAGAGATACAGTCATCGTAAAATAAGATGACCTCCAAAATAGCCATGCCAAAATACCTCCTTCCTTTGCCTTTTCACTCACCGGAGTCATATCAACAACAGCTTAAGAAGCCAACGTGAGATTCATAGATTAATTTGTATAATTTGTTATGATGAATGGAATGGGAAAAATATAGAATTTACCTGTATACTTTCCGATGTAAGCCATGCTTCCGAAATTTCTGAACTTGAAAGGTTCGGTCCCTGTTATTGATTCTTTCTCTGGGGCTATTTTGGACAAGGCTATACAACGTAACGGTTCCGTGGTGTTGCATTGATTATTTGATCTATAAATAGGCTCTCACACACTGACAGCATAAATGAAGTATACCTTTGCTCAAATATTTTGCCTTTTGATTTGCAACTTGAGCCGTGGCGGGAAGATCATAGTTCTCAATCGAAGCACAATCACCGAGTGCATAACTATAACACAAGATTAACTCGTGAATCGGTAATTATAATATACAAGTATGTGTCCACAGGAGTGTGTTTTTACCTACACATTATCTAGTGCCTGGCCGGTCTCCTTACTCAGAACTCGTAGATATTCATCAGTCAAAAGCCTACAAACAAAAAAAGGGATGTGAGTCACAACATATATAATATAAGCACGCATCGGATATCGAGCGCTATACCTTTTCGCTGATTTGTCTTTTATCAATTGATCACTCATAGAATGTATCAATGGGTTCTCAGTTAATCCTAATCGCAGATGAAACAACTAATCTTATCGGCTCTCGCGTTTAATCTCAGAGCAATCTTGCGAATCCAAGATGACCTACCAGTCGACCAAACCAACATGCCATAAGGTATGCTTCCCTCTTCCTCTATGATGATTTCACGTTCTTTCACTTCCATAACATGCCTATTGGTACAGATGTTAATGCCTTTACGCTTGAACTTTTTGGTTGCAAAGTCTCGAAGAGATGCATCAAAGGAACCAAGAATCTGAGGTGCAACATCGTATACGGTCATGGTAACTAGGTTTATTAAACCTGGATATAGACGAGCCATGTCCTCCGTGATAAAGTCATATCTGCAAAAGGCATGTGGCATGATCAACTTAATATATCCAATTTAACGAACAAGAAAATGTCAAAATCGAGGGCTTACAGTTCACCACTAAATTCGATACCCTAAACACCAAACAACAGATGAAACAATTTGCTCGATTTCACAACTCTATAATAAGCTTTCACTGACATGACGAAAATTCAACTTACTGTAGGACCTCCACCCACAACTACAAAGTGCAACAAATCAGTAGCTTCTTTTTTGGTCACATCCGGTTGACTTGCATGCTCAAAGCATTCAATAACCCGTGAACGTATTTTGCGGGCATCGGAGATGTCTTTTAGGAAAAAAGCATGTTCATCAACCCCCTTTATGCCAAAGGTATTTGACTTTGCTCCGACTGCTATAATCAACTTATCGTAATCGATGGAAAACTCGTGTTTTTTATGCTCAATGTTAGATGTACAATGAATGACCTGTTTCTTTAAATCTAATATTTACGCATAGGTAAAGTAATATATAAGTAAGTATCGTCACTCTCGTAAAATATTCGCCGAACCTACCTATGGTATCCGCATAAGCCTGGTAATATTTGATTTTCGGCGAGTACCTCCGAATAGGCTCGGTAATGCACCTGAACTCCAGTGTGCCCACAGATGATGATGCGAGTAATGGTGTACTAAGATTATAAATAGTAAGAAAGCATGCCTACGCGTATACTAGAATAACGTATTATATGACTTACAAGACAAAGTAATTCCTATTAGAAAAACAATAAAATCCGTGATTGAGCAAACATATTTTAAAGCAAGACGTAAGCCTTTCTTTAAGAACATAAATACCTTGGTGAGATAACAGTTACCTCATAATGCTTGGTGCTCAAATCCTTAAGTAATTTGAATCCTACGAGTGAGTCAAAGAAGACAGGTTAGAGCTTGTAAGATTAATGGAATCACGAAAATAATTCGATGTCTGACCTGCCCATCCGGACCCTGAACATTGGATCATTACGTAAACAAGGTTGTCTCATTTGAACATAAGATCACAAAGTTTTGATCTTACCAAGAATAATCAATTGACCTAAAAAAGATATAGTTGACATACGATCGAAATATGCCCAGTGCAGAAACATGATTGATAATCACCTTGTGTCTTCCCCAAAGAAGCGATATCTCTCTTGGCGATTCCATTGAATGATAACTGCTGCTTAAAAACAACATCATGTTGATCCTCTGCTCTTGATTTGGTTGGAATTGTTAATAAGTTCGTCGGTTGACTTAAAGTTTCTTGATGATAATTACGTATTACCGAGAAAATCTCTCTTCGAAAAAGTCTAGAGCTGTTTACTGAAATTTTGGGTTGAGAAGGAATTGTCAATTCAATCGATTTTTCTTTCATTAAACAATCATAAGTGCAAAAAAACTAACGTAAAGGAGGTCTACGAAAAGATAATGTTTGAAGCATTCTGATTATCAAGTCGCCAAGTTGATCAGTGTCCTTTTATTGTACAGTAAACCCTATGATATGTCACATTGATCGATACATACTGTACGCACATGTACATACATACAAACAGTTATTGAGTCCGGTGTTGCATGATTAAATGCAAAATTACGCAAGAACGCGTCTAAGAATGTCACAAAAGTCACTGGAAAAAATGCAAACGGTCTGATCGAACCGAAACCTGATATTCCGAAATACTATATACTATTTATGTATATTTAGATATTAACAATAAATTGTCAATTACGATCTTAATATATACTGTTTATTGTTAAATCAAGAATCCACGACATTTTTATGACATACTTTTATAAATATAATTTATATAAAAAAAAACCCCGATTATTAAAAATTCAACGAAAATAAAATAAAATAAAATATATCATATGATGCGTTGTAGATAATATCGAATTACATCATAGCTTAACATAAAACAGCCATGTATTTTTTACGTGACTGAAATGACTTTATTTCAGAGTGTATTATAATTGCGCGTTATATTAAGGAACTCAAAATATTTCTATATATACTGTATATAAAAAAAAATCCAAAAAAAACGTGGGATTTTCTCATTAATATATTTTTGGTAACCGATCAAATTTAAGTTTATTTATAAAGTCCCGATTTACGTTATTTTGGTTTAAATTTAGCGGATACGCATGGAAGGAACACGCATCGCAATTATCGGTGCTGGTAAAGAAAAAAGAAATATTTAATCAAAGTTCCGTTCGACGCAAAAATAAAAAAAATAATGAACTTCGCATTATCATACAGGTACCTCGGGCCTAACGGCAATAAAGCAATGTTTAGACGATGGCCTTGTTCCAATTTGCTTTGAGAAAAGTAATTTTATCGGCGGCCTCTGGAGATATCAGGAGGTCGACAAGGATAATAAAGATCCACATTCTTCAATATATAAAAGCATTAGAACCAACACTTGTAAGGAACTGGTTGGTGTTGGTGAACATGTTATCTTCTTGGAGCTTATTATTTAGGCGAGATTTTATATAAGATATCTTTGTTTCGTCTTATAGATGTCATTCTCGGACTTTCCAATCCCGGTAGATTGGTCAACGTATTTAGATTATGTTCACGTAGAAAAGTAAGAAAATCTAAAGATATATATGTAGTTAGAAATGCATAATGATATATTCATGACCTTACGACCTTTGAAAATGTAGATACATTGATATGTACGCTGAAAATTTTAATCTTCTACCACATATCAAATTTAATACCACAGTATTAAAAGCATCAATTCTTACGGACAAGCGTTGGAAGGTCAGATATGTCACCCGAGGTAAAGGTAGGGAGGAAGAAGAAAGAGAGGAGATTTTCGATTACGTGATGGTCTGCTCGGGTCATCATCATCACCATAGATGGCCAAAGTATAAAGGAATGGATGTTTTTGGTGGTGAACAAATGCATTCTCATTTTTATAGACAGTGAGTCGACTTCAGGATTGTGTTCTTGATTTTTCTGTTATTTTTAAATTAATCAATCCTTTACATTAGACCAACGAATTTTGAAAACAAACGTATCCTGGTCGTCGGTAGTGGGAATAGGTATAGCCTTTCTTTGGTATTGTATGTTAACATCATCTTTAAATGAAATACGTATATATACTCTTTGTCAAATCAAACGTCAGTGGTATGGACATTGCGGTCGAATTATCTCACGTAGCGTCGCAAGTTTATCTAAGCGCTCGAAAAGGTAAGCCGTATTTTCAATGTCCTTATTTCGCAAACTTGATATCGCAATTCTTAAACGGCATCAATCTGTAGGGAGGCTTCCATGGATATATCCGCTTTTTTTAAATGGAAAGGCTTACGATCATCGTTTGTCCCGTTTTTCAACATACATTATTCCCCTTTCCATTAAAAGAAAAAGGATGGAAAATGCAATCGTTAAAGAAAAGGGTCCTTTTCCTCCCCATTTAAAGCCCAATGAGCCTTTATATACATCGCTCGCTGCTATAAATTCTGAAATCTTTGAACGCCTCTTGGATGGTAAAATCATCGTGAAACCAAACATCAAAGAACTTAAATCAGAAAATAATAAAATTGAATTTGTTGATGGAACGTCTCTGGAAAATATTGATGTTGTAATATATTCGACCGGGTATGATCTCAAATTCCCATTTTTAAATAGAGACATTATCACAGGCGGAGATGAGATCGAAAAAGAGTACGGAAAGGATTACAAGGATGATTTGGTTTGGATGCATAAACTGATGTTTCCTCCAAGATATCCAAATATTGCTTTCCTAGGATTAGTGGTAGGTGCCGGTGCCATCTTTCCTGTTAGGTAGGTTCGAAGTTCAAGGTTATCGCATTTATTTTCAAGAAAACAACATTTTTACCAATCTTGATCTTTAAAGCGAAATGCAAGCACGGTACATCACAAGTCAAATCAAGGGTTTTATTAAGCCGCTCCCATCTCCTGCCGAAATGGACCAATGCATACGTGACCGTTATGAGAGAAATCGAAAATTTTATGTCAATCCCCCACGTCATACTATCCAAGCAAAGCCCCTTTTATATCTGGACGAACTGAGCAAAGACATAGGATGTTATCCTTATTCTTTCGAGATAATAAAAAAATTTGGTTTTGGTTTTTGGAAATTAATCAACTTTGGCTTGGCCACGCCTATTCAAGTTAGTACATTTTTTCCTTTTCTGCTGTACGTTCGTGAAAGATCCGACTAATTTTTTTTTTCTCATATAATATCGAAGTTTCGATTATTGGGAAGAAATTCTTGGGAAGGTTCAAAAGAAGCAATTTTGCTGTACAACAAATGTGCCGCTGGTAATAATACTAAAAAACATAAAGATTATATATTCTGGGTATCATTTTCTACAATCACAATAGCCTTATTGGCGAGCATAAAAAACTACTGGTGATATTAAAATTCTATAAAATAAAATGTTATTTTACCAAGATCAATGATAAAACTGCAATATCAAACGTATGCTATCAATAGATTTCAGATAGGCAATCATACCAGTTTTTGATGCATTTCTAAATTTAATTTATTCTTGTTAATGTAAAAACCAAAAATACACGAAAAATGAAATTACTGGATAAAAAAGAAAATATCCTTCAGAAAATTAAAATTTATGCTGCTTTAATTAACAAATATTGAACGTACTCTGATTTGTTTTTAAAAAAATTCACCCCACCATTCTTTGATGCCTTCTTGCTAACAAATTCTAACTCCACCCCTCTGAGCTTAAAGAATCCATCATTCCATCTCTCCAAATAATCGTTTATCATTTCTATATACTCTTCCATTTGCCTACCACTATTGCCCATCACCATAATCCTCAAATTCGTCGATATGCTGCCAAATATCGACGATGAATCGGAGGAACTTGATACGCCCACCAACATGTTTAATCCCTTGATAAAGTCCTCCCAGTCCTTTTGTGAAATGTCATGTGATCCCAATGCCTGTGTTGGGTAACTGTGAACAGGAAATCCTTTTTGGATAGTGCTGCCATCTTTGGGTATGATGGTGAAAGGTTGTCTGAAACTTGGTGGTGGGGATTGAGCAAAGTGAGCGGGAGGTGAACGGGTAAGCGTCGATGAGTAGGTATCACAGGCTTGTTGTACTGTCACTGGATTCAATCCCGAGATGCGCCTTGCTAATTTTGAGGTAGATGAACAGTTCGATGTGGATGTAGAAGAGGATGCTGAAGTGGTAGATGTGGGTGAAATTGAGTCATTATGTGAGGATGTCGAGGAAGATGGTGATGGATGAATGTGGGCGTTGTTCGTAATCTCTTGATTTGGAGATCCGCCCCAGGATGCTGGACGTTCTTTTTTTAGAGGCTCCGTCGGTTCCAGATGTATCATCGCCTCCTCATATGAAGGTGGTTCCGATTCAAATTCATCGTCCATAAGTGACATCTGAGGGGCCGATGGAACATTTGAAGTAACAATAATCTTGGGATAAGATGATTCCAACAATTTATCTGCAACTTTTTGGACATGATCGCTTGTCTCTTGTGAAAGGCAATTTCTTATATATTGAGGGTCACAATCCGGAAACATTGTTCTCAATGTTGCAACCATCTCTTCCACCTGTACCGGATCAACTGGCCTTAATTGAGTCGTTTGTTGTACGCCGGGCATTTGCGAGCAATAGTGATAATAACAATTGAAAGTTTGACCAGAAGGAGAGATTACGTTCGAATGGAGATGAAACGCAGCCGGATCGCTGTTACGTCTGAGGTTACGTAACTCCTGGCGTATAGCATGTTTCTCAGCTTTGAGCCTGCGTTTCTCTTGACGACGGTGATTTTTTTCTTCACGACGGTGTAATCGTTCTTCGCGGCGTGCTTGTCTGCTCTGATTACACATTATAACTAAAGTTCTTTGATTAATTGAAATGATTGAGTTCAGGTTTTTCAAGTTTCTCAAGCGCCCATTTATGCATGTACACGGTGTCTTTTTAAAAGAGGACGGTGTAACACTCTCACCGAATACTCCGAAATAACTTATTTCTAGAATATCTTTAGCAAAATAAGCATGTCGATTAAACCCAAAAAAGGACATTTTTGGATTTTTTGTATGGCGAACCGAATTTTCTTAAAGAAGTTTTCTTTACACGTTCGTTATTCAAGAGATGTCGTGTAAAGATCTCGTAAAATATAATTCAAGTGTTATCTGTTAAAAGTTAGCTTGTGTTAAAAAAAAAACAAATTAACTTATGGTCTTATTATACCCCCAAAAATGTCACCTTTTTAAAAAAATCTCGAGTTAATTTAAATCAGAGGTTTTTCTTTTTTCTTTCAAAGCTTTATTATGACATTTAAATCATCTTTATTAGAACAAAAAAAAATTTTTTCGGGTTTATTCTATTAGCTTTACAAGTAGGTGGTAATCGCGATAACGCATATAAAATAAGTATCCTTAAAAATAACAATTGTTTATCAATTAATATACTGTTTATTCATTTATTTAAAAAAATATGATGGATTAAGAATTTAGGATAAAACAAATATATATTTTTTGATTATAAAATAAAAATTATCAACACTTAAACAAATATACAGTACATTATTAATAGTTATAATGAAAATTAAATGTTAAACAATTATATGATAAATAAAATCATTGTTTGATTGAAATTATACATTAGTAAATATATATATATATTATTATAATAATAATCAAAATTATGTATTGAGTTATTCGACATTATTTGTTTTTGAATTATTTTTTTAAAAAAACTTAACAATTAAAGAATAAAAAACATATACTGTATATCAATATTAGTTAATTAATTAAAATAAGTATATTTAGATTAATTTATTTAAATTGATTATATTATCAAATAATTAATATATAAAATTAATTGGTTTATTAAATTTGATTAAATTATAATATTAAAATTAAAAACAACAACAATAATAATAATAATAATTTTTTTAACTCACAATCAGGCTGGAGTCATTTATTTATTTAACAATAATTATTCTTATAATTAAGAAAAAAATCCTTATACATATATATACTATATATATTTATTTATTTTTAAAAAATAGTTTATTAAATATTTTTATTTTTAAAATTTTCAATAGTAATACATAAATATTTTTTTTTATTTTATATATAATTAATTATTATTTCATTATATGTTAAAATTTCATATTCATATATTTATTTAATTTTTAAAGCACCGTGTTTCAAAAATAATTTCAATTATGTTTTTTTATAAATTGATAAACAATGAGTTTTAAAAAAATAAAATTTTGAAATTAATAATTTAGAATATAAACCAAGATTATTTAATAATAGTAATTATTATTACTTATTTATTCATATTATTTATTAAAAAAAATATTTTTTTAATTTTTAACAAATTTATTTATATTTTTTGAAATAATAAATATATTTACATGAAAAATTTAATATATTTATAAAAAAAATTTTTGTATTTGAATCTTTTACAAATATAAAGCATTTAAATATTTTTATTGCAACACACTATATAAAACTGGAAATATATACGTAATTATGAATTCTGATTTTAAGTTTGTAAAAATAATTGAAAATTCTTATATTTCGATACAAATATTTATTGTTAAAAAATAATAATCTAAGATATATATTTTAAAATAAATTTATGTAAAACAAAAGTAAATTGTTTAATTTCTTGATAAAAAATTTAAATTTTTTTTAATTATTTAAAGTACGTATATTAATACAGTATATACAGTATATTGTTTATACTTAATTTCGTTCAACTCAATTGGCAAAAAAAGAGGATCACGTGCAAAATATCCGGACACAAGATCATAAAAGCTGATCATTTTATGCCGACATTCGAACAATGGCCGAATCAACTTTCGAGAATGCTAACAAAAGTTTTACGGAATGGTTTTGCACCAATGGCGGGATGATATCTTCGAAGATTACATTTAAGGATTATAGTCGGGAGAATGCGGGTCGTGGTGTTGTTGCGGTCGATGACATTGAGGTTATATATCAGAATTTTCGAAAAGCGTTGATTTTTCTCCCCGATTAAACAGTTTTCTTCATTAGAAGGATGAGGTTTTGTTCGAAATTCCACGATCTTTGGTCCTCTCCCCAAAAACATCCTCCCTCGCATCCAAAATATCCTCTGAAGAATTTCAGGAACTATATAGAAACAACCGATGGTTTCCATTAATAATTTGCATGATGTACGAAAGTAAAAACAACAATTCATTATGGAAGCCCTATTTTGATATATTACCGTCTGAGTTTAATACGCCAATGTTTTGGAATGATGTAGAGCTTGATGAACTAAGAGGAACTGGTGTGATCGGTAAATAATTCAAGTTTCTATGGAAGAGTTCAACTTTTCATGCTGAATGGGGTTAAATTTTTAGATAAAATTGGGAAAGATGATGCCGAAAAGGCGTTTGCGGATCGCTTGCTACCATTTATTCAGGTAAGGAAATAAATTGGTGTAAAGCTTTTAACTATTCTCTATGATCAACCTATTTCCTTGAATAGTCCAAGCCATCGCTTTTCGACCCTAAAATTCACGATCTTGGGCTTTTCCATCGAATGGGTTCGCTCATAATGTCGAATGCATTTCATGACGAGAAGAACGAGGACAAAGAAGAAGAGGACAGTGACGATGATGATAAAGATGAGAATGACCAAGAAGGGACCGATGAAGGAGAAGTAACAATGATGCCGATGGCTGATATGCTGAATCATAAGACCGGTTTCAACAATGTATGTTGGTTTGCAGTTGACTAATTATAATAAGTACGTTTAACATTAATAATGAATGCTCTCCGCTAATTAGGCTAGATTGTTCCGCGAGAAAGGAACATTGCAAATGATAGCAATAAAGCAAATAAGCGAAGGCGAGCAAATAGTATGTTGCATTCATCGTAGATTATCTGTACTGATATAATGATTCTAACGTCAAAAATTATGCGAATTATATTCTAGTTCAACACATATGGAGATTTATGCTCTGCAGGTATACATTTAAAACCACCGAGTTTACCTGATTTATAGGCAACTTATAATGATGTTCAATAGAGCTCTTGCGCAAGTATGGATTTGTCGATGAAAACAATATAAATGATATCGTTGAGATAAATGGCAGACAGGTAGTCGATACTTTATCGGTCGATAAAGATACCAAAGAGAAAAAGGTACCATAGTAAGAATGCTTGTATTCCGGAATTATTAATACATATCACTCATTGTTTTGTTTAAGGTCGAATTATTGCTTGAAGAAGAAATTTTGGATGAGTAAGATTTTTTCCTTTCTAAAGAAAGCAATGAATGCTCCACATTTAACATTTGTTTATTTTGTTTTATTATCATTATCATTATTATTTACATCTTTACTTTAGTACATTCATTCTAGATAACCATGAATTTCCATTAGAATTGATAATAACAGGTAATATTAGGTAAAGAATGGTCTTCTAAAACATTTTAATCTTATAATTCTTATGAACTTTTTCTTATTAGCAAAAGTGTTAATGATGGATAAAGCCCAGTTCCGATCGGTGAAGAAGTCAGGAAACTTTCCGGAACCCGAAATGTCGTCTGAAATAAAACAACCACTTTTGAGAATTCTAGAAAAGAGACTATCTGACTACAAAACTTCAATAACTGTGAGAATCTCATTTTTAGTCAATCAGTTTCTCTATCATACAATGCACATCCGCTCGAGTTAATTCGAAAATTTCTTATCACAAAATAGGAAGATGAGGCAATATTGGAAAGGCAAGAAGTTTCATTGAGGTTAAGATATGCTGTAATGTTAAGATTAAGTGAAAAAAGAATACTTCAAAAGCATATCGATTATCTTAAGTTGTTTAAAGTTGAGGATAACAATGAGGGAGGTAGTAACAAGAGAAGAAAGCTGAAATAGAGCGAATATTATTAATCACTCCGATACACCGATCAAGAATACGTTTAGACATGGCCTCTTTAAGAATTTTCCGTATAAATTATTAAAAGGTTCACAAAATGTGTATTAGAAAGTTCGAAAAAACAATCAACTTACATATTAAATATCATTGCTTGTGTTAAAAAGTTTACTAAATTTTCAATATATATATTTATACTATACTGTATATGTAATTTCTTGAAACAATTTACAGTATTTATATCATTTTAGAATATAGCTATATTAAAAAGGTTTACCATTGATGCAATTTCGTTCCTGATTTTTCCGACTTATTCACACTACAAAAAAGTCTATTTACTGTTAATTATGATAATTATATATTCGCTTCTCATTTTGGATTAACTCGTACTTACACAGAATTTACGCATGTACATGTGATGGTTACATAATACTCGTCGGGAAGTCAAATACAGATTTTATTATATTCATTGAATTCATAGTTTTTTTCTTTCTGACGACCATGAAGAAACCACGTATTGCTGTTATCGGGGCTGGTACGATTTTTAAATTTTCTTAAGGATTCATAAGTAATGTTAATTCATCTAAATAATTTTATGAAAAGGTTCGTCGGGTTTGGCGGCAACAAAACAATGTCTCGATGATGAACTGGAACCCGTTTGTTTCGAGCAAAGCTCACACACCGGTGGGCTTTGGAAATATGTGGATATTGACAACACAGAAAACAAAGATCCTCATTCGTCAATATTTAAAAGTGTTATAATTAACACTTCTAGCAAAAAGGTTTGTAATTAAATTTTTACAATTGAACAAACATCTTACACGCCCATATTTACAATAATGTCCATCTATCTTTCCTAGATGACCTTTTCGGACTTTCCGATTCCTCCAGAATGGCCAGTATATTTGCATAATTCGCTTGTCGCTAAGTATGTAAACAAAAAAATCTTTCGCTACTACGCTATACTAATATCTTTATCCACCCTTTAAAAAAAAGGTACTTTGACATGTACGCCGAACACTTTAATCTTTTAGCACACATCAAATTCAATACCACTGTAATCAACGTGTCAATTCTTCCGGACAAACGTTGGAGAGTAAGATATGTAACCCGCGGCGAAGGGAATGATGAGGAAAAAGAAGATATTTTTGATTATGTGATGGTCTGCGCGGGCCATCATCGTTTTCACAGATGGCCAAAATATAAAGGAATGGATGTATTTAAAGGCGAACAAATTCATTCCCATTTTTATAGACGGTACAGTTTATCCCTCTCAACGCTTTCTTTTCCTTAATGTCTATTAATTTTTACTTTTTGTAACGCAGTGCAAAATATTTTGAGGACAAACGCGTTCTAGTTGTTGGCGCTGGAAATAGGTAAACAATCTCGGTTAAAGATTATCTAATGTATGAAATTATGATTCGATCAACATTCTTTCTTTCCACATTTCAATAGCGGACTTGATATCTCGGTTGAGTTGTCTTATGTTGCGTCACAAGTCTATTTATGCGTTCGCCGAGGTTGAATTAAGACTAAGGTTATATATAACTTTTGAATTTAATTTCTGAAAATTAAATTGCTATTTTATTTCTACAGGAACATTACCTTGGATCTTTCCTCACATTTTAAACGGGAAACCGCTTGATTATTACTCAAGGTTTTTCGGAACCATGCTGCCGTCCTCTCTCATTAGCGCTTACTACAAAAAATCCATTAAAAATACCCTAGGTGAACTTCCCCCCGACATAAAACCCAAGGAACCGATTTTCTCATCTCATATAACAATGAAATCTTCTATTTTTGAGCGAATCATAAGTGGTACCCTTATCGTTAAGAAAAATATTAAGGAACTAAAATCCGATAAAAGTATTGAATTTGTGGACGGAAGCATTCTTGAAGACATTGATGTGATCATCTATGCTACGGGATATAATATCGAATTTCCGTTTTTGGATAGAAATATTGTGTCCGGTGGTGAGGAGATCGAGAAACAGTTTGATGAAGAATATAGGGAGAATTTGGCCTGGATGTATAAAATGATTTTTCCCCCAAAGTACCCAAATATAGCTTTTATAGGTTTGGTCCAACCTGATGGGCCCATCTTTCCTGTCGCGTAGGTTCTATTTCCCGTCCTATTCCATCAATAACTTATATCAACTTATCAATCTTAAACCATTTTTAGCGAAATGCAGTGTCGTTACGTCACGAGTCTAATTAAGGGCTTCGTAAAGCCATTGCCATCTCCTTCAGAAATGGAAAGATGCATTCGTAAGAGCCAAGAGAAAAATCTAAAGCAATTCTATTCCTCCGCACGGCACACAGTTGAAGTCAATTTCATCACTTATATGGATGAACTGGCTGAAGATATCGGTTGTTATCCTTACTCCCTTGCAATTCTAAGAAAATATGGGTTTGGAGTCTGGAAGAATGTACATTTTGGCCTATTCAACCCAATACAGGTTTGTTATGGTTTTCATTTGTCTTTAATAGATAATACGCATTCGGCGATAACTTTTTTTCTTTAGTACCGTTTACTCGGAAGGCATTCGTGGGAAGGCGCACCGGAAGCGATATTTCTTTATAACACCGTTGATCCCAAGATTGGAAAAACTCTTAAAAACAACGAAAAGACCAAAAATCGTTCGAATGGTAAATACTGGTTGTTGTTGACCTTGATTGGTTTGATGGTGGTGATGAAAAAAACGCGTGCATTAGAAACAGTTACGGCTTTTGGCAAAAAATTAATCGGAAATCAATAAGAAGTTGAATTATTAATGAGTTAGATTGAGAAAAAATATTGGTCCTTTTTTACTTCAATCTATGTCCATGCAAATGACAAAACTAATTTCAATATTAGGAATAGCAAAGCGTGTTACATACAGTTTATTAAATATTATGCCATCACTTGATATACAGCCTGGTGCAAGGTCTTTGGACTCTTATTTTCAACAACTAATTAATAATAAAATATAATACACTGTATATACTGTATATATTATATTTAAAGATTTATTATGAAAATTAGATTGAAAATATAAAAATCATTAATCCATTTTTATTAATATTTGTTTGATTGCAAAAAAAAAATATTTAATATTTAATAAATTTTTTATTGAATTAATGATATAATTTAGAATTGTTTTTTTAATTAATTTAATAATAATATTATTATTATTATTAGTTAATTATTTAATAAAAAATAATTGATTGATTTGGCAAATATATTAAGTTTACAAAAAATAATTTTTTTTTTATAAATTGATATATAAAGTTAATAAATAATTTGATGAATAATATTTATTAATTAATTAATTTATATAATTTTTTCAAATTTGATCAAATATACAATATATTGTTAATAAAGTTATTAATTTATTTATATTGTTTAATTTTTGTCATATATTTATTTGTTTTATTAAATTTTTAATATATTATATTTGTAATTTAAAGAAAAAATAAAATATTTATAAAAATTTTAATATTTGAATTTTATATTTAAATAATATAAAATTGGTTAAAAATATTATAAATAGAAATTAGAAATTTTTTATTATGACTTACAAATTAAATTAAAAATTTAAATATTTTATAATTTGTGAAAATATTATCATTAGAAATTTTATTTTTAATTTAATCTTTTTATATTGATTATTTTATTTTAAATTCTTATCAATATTTTTAACATGTAATTTAAAAATTTATAATTATATTAAATGTCTTATAATATTTAATCAATAAATTTAAAATTTTAAGATATTATGAAATTCAATTTTTCTTGAATACAAAAGATTTACTGATAATTATCTTTTGAATTTTATAAATATTATTTAAAAATCAATATATTTTGTTATTAAAAATCAATAAATTAAAAATCAATTTAAAATTTAATAAGTATTGATATTTCAAATCCCATATTAATAAAATAGAATGCAATTAAATTAATAATTCAATAATTATCTATTAGCTATAAGACTTACTGTAATTAAAAGTATAATATTTGATAAAATATAGTATGTTGATTATAAAAGAATTATAAAAAAATTAATTTTGGAATGAAATAAGTATTTATTATTTTATTATTTTATTTTTTATATTTGAACAGTTGTATATACAGTATAATTATAATAATTTCATATTAAAATATAAAAAGTATAAAAAGTGTAAAAGTATAAAAAGTACAAAAGTTGCAAAAAATAAAAAAGTAAAAAAAAAATTATAATATATTATATTTAGTAAACAAAGTTAATTAAATATTTTTTATATAGCATATTAAAAATTTTCTTTTCATAATATAATGAATTGTTATTCTTACTATATTAATGATCTTGATCCAATGTAATATAGTTTTTTTATATCAATTATTTGATAAAATAAATTAATTATAATAGTTAAAAATTTGAAAGTCAACATTGAGATATTATATTTGTATTAAATGTAATTTTTATATTAGATATAATAATATAATTTGATATTTCTCGATACAAATCGTAAAATTATTTTTGAGTCCATTTTATTAGTGTGACTGATGAAAATAATACATACAGCATAATGTTCATTGTCATATGACTAATGGGACAGGTTTGATTCAGATTCGGGACAGCTCAGTCCAAAGACCTATTCAACTGAGCTTTTTAACATTCCCAGACCAAACTTATTGTAGTATATCTAAAATGGAGGCATATATACTATTATGCATCACTAAATATAGATTTATTATGGTCAAGTTAAATTTATCAAATATTCGTTGAATCAAAGTTTTCCTGATGACGATCTTGAAGAAATCACGTATTGCAATTATCGGGGTCGGTACAGTTTTTACATTTTCTTAATGCTTCATGCGTAATGTTAATTTATCTAAATAATTTTATAAAAAGATTCGTTGGGCTTGGTGGCAACAAAAAAACCTGTTTGTTTCGAGCAGATCTCACACACCGGTGGGCTTTGGAGATACGTAGATATAGGTAACACAAAAAGATTCTCATTCGTCAGTATATAAAAAGTATTATTAAATTTTTTATAATCGAATAAACATGATTGGCATCTGATGACTTTTTCGGACTCTCCGATTCCTCCAAATTGGTCAGTATGTTTGCATAATTCGCTTGTCGCAAAGTATGTATGTAAACAAATCAAAATTTTTTTCGCTATTGCGCTATACTAATAATATCTTTATCCACCCTTAAAAAAAGGTGCTTTTTAGTATGACGTCGAACACTTTAATATTTTAGCACACATCAAGTTACCATGGTAATCAACTTGTCAACTAGGTATTTTTGATTATGTGATGATCTGCACGCGTTCCGCTGGAAATTGGTAAATAATCTCGGTCAAAGATTGTCCAATGCATGATTCATTCATTCCACATTCAATAGCGGACTTGATATCTCGGTTGAGCTGTCTTATGTTGCAGCACAAGTTTATTTATGCGTTCGCTGAGGTTAAATTAATATTAAAGTAGAATATAACCTTTAAATTTAATTATTTCTGGATTTTAAGCGGGAAACCGCTTATTCTCACTCAATATTTTTCGGAACCATACTGCCATCCTCTCATTAATTCTTACTACAAAAAGCAATTAAAAATACCCTAGAGGAACTTTTCCCCGATTTAAACCTAAAGAATCGATTTTCTCATCTTACATAACAATGAAATCTTTTGTTTTGAGCGAATCATAAGCGTACCATCGTCGTTAAGCAGAATATTAAGGAACAAAATCCAATAAAATGTTTAATTTGTGGATGGAGGCATTCTTGAAGACATTATCTATGCTACATTTGACCTGGATACATAAAATGATTTTTGCCCAAAATACCCGAATACTGTATAGCTTTTATCGGTTTGGTCCAACTTGACGGGCACATCTTTCCTGTCACATGGACTCTATCTTCCGCTCTAATCCATTAATAATCTATACCAACCTATTAATCTTTAAATCATTATTAGCGAAATGCTGTGTCGTTACGTCACGAGTCTAATTAAGGGCTTCGTAAAGCCTTTGATATCTCTTTCTGAAAAGGAAAAATGCATTCAAAAGAGCAAAGAGAAAAATACAAAGCAATACTATTCCTCCGCACGCCACACAATTGAAGTCAATTTGATCCCTTCTATACTGTATATGAGTTAGTTAAAGATATCGGTTGTTATCTTTACTCTGAATTTAAGAAAATACGGATTTGGAGAGTCTGGAAGAATGTATATTTTGGCCTATTTTAACCCAATACAGGTTTATTATGATTTTCATTTTGTCTTTAATAATTAATACACTTTCATTAATAGCTTTTTTCTTTAGTACCGTTTACTCGGAAGGCATTTGTGGGGAAGGTGCACCGGAAGCAACAAACATCTTTGATCCCGTGATTGGAAAACATAAAAATAATGACAAGGTCTAAGCCAAAAATCGTTCGAATGGTAAATACTGGTTGTTGGCACTGATTGGTTCTGATTGGTTCTGATTGGTTTGATGGTGGTGGAGAAAAAAATGCGTGCACTAGAAACAGCCACGGGCTTTGGCAAAAAATTAATTGGAAATGCGTATCATAAATAAGATATGTTACACACATGCACGTATGTATATCAAATATTATGTATACAGTATTATGTTTTTAAAAAAATAAATAACCAAGTTAAAATAATATTAAAAGGTGACATTTTAAAATATAATCAAAAGGTATAATTAATAGTAGAAAGCTTTATTAATTTATAAATTTGTCTTAAATAACAAAATAAGAACAGTAAAGTTTAAGTTTTATTAATTTATATATTTGTCTTAAAGTTTTTTGCGATTTTTTTTTTTTTTTTTGCTAACCAATATTACGATTTGTTTAAAATTACAAATATTGATGATATATTTAACTTGATTTTTCAAAAAATAAAAATGTCCTTTTAAATAAGTATAAAAATCGAAAAAAGTTTAACTTATTGAATTATTAAAAGGGTAAATAATTATTTAAATTATTTAAATTGCATCTTTATTTTAAAATTATTTTAAAACAATTACAGTCAGTATTCATCTTTATTAATAATCATTTTCCGAAAATTAATACGGTTTGATTTGCTTACATATGCTGTATACGTTGTATATATAATACAATATCTTTTAAAAAAAAAATTTTTTTTTTTTACGATGTCAGTAAAAAAATTTACGTACAATAAATAAATAAATAAATAAATAAATACCAAGTAGCCGTTTATTTATTTATTAATTAGGCCTCAAATATTTTGTAAATACAGTATGGTATAAACGCCTAAAGATTGGTTTAAATTTTTAGAACAATTAGCTATACAGCAAAAATTTATACGTATGAGGATCATTACAAGCCTTTTTTTATCTGCTCTAACGAAATCACAATTTCATAGTACCTTTTACCTTCATTCCGATACGACGTTATCAACCAAAAACATCAACTATTTTATCACTCGAGTACTGGAAAATATTGTATTAAGTATATATATGGTTAACGGGGAATTCTCCAGAACTTCCTTTTATATAATTACATAATGTGTCGTCATTAACACTTCATATATAAAATGATTTTTACCGTACAATATATTTTAGATTCTCGCCGCAAGCTCCCTGAATAAAAATCAAAGTTAAATCTATATCTCCTCCCGTATTTAATTGAATATGACACAAACCCTCAAGGATTTCAGGCCTCTCCACAGTTCTCTAAAGAATGATGGCGGTGATTCTCAACACACAAATATTGCAGAAAATGAAAATCCAAATCTCGCTCGTCATGTTCATTTCGGACCAATGCCACACTCAGTGAAATCGTGGGCAACTTCGTATTCAAAAAGTCAAAAGTATCAACACGGCAATTTCGAAAAGAATCGAAACCAATCGCATACTTTCAATGAACTTGGAGGCTCTGGTAGTGATTACAATGACCATAATGAAGGATGTAGCAATGTACGTGATGACACAACAATCATCGAGAACGAAAGATCTCCGTTGATTCATCGCCATAAAACTACCTTTGGTCATTTCGAAGACAATGGAGATTACAGAAGTTTGATAGAGCACGGTAAATCAACAGTTAAACAAACGGTTTTCAACGCGATCGTGTGTACTAATTCATTTGAGATCTACGTGTCTAATTATTAATTGATTGTTCGTTATTCACGTATCTTCTTTATTTAATACAAAATAGAACATTTTGATGGGCATTGCCATCCTTGCTTTGCCACTCGCCTTTAAACATACAGGATGGATTATTGGAATTTCAATATTTCTGTTTTGTCTGATTTCAACAAATTACACAGCAAAAATACTAAAGAAATGTCTGGATACCGACGTCGATTGCCTTACCTATGCAGAACTCGCGCATTTGGCGTACGGGGACAGAGGAAAATATTTCATGGGTGCGGTTTTTATGTTCGATCTACTTAACGCTTCGTAAGTACAATTGATCATATAGTTTAATTTAAATGATGTTAACTATGATACTAATTCTGTTCGGACAATAATCTTCAAGGGTTGCCTTAATGATATTGGTTGGGGACTCTCTAAAAACCCTTTTTCCACAAGTAGAATTAACCAGCTTAAAACTTATCGTCTTTGTCATAATCACACCGCTCACATGGATGCCAATTCATTATCTCTCCTACACCTCGATTTTTGGTATAATTACTGCTTCATCATTGGCTGCGGTAGTATTGATCGACGGTTTTACCAAGTGCGAAGCACCGGGAAGTTTATTAAATCCCATGGACACTTATTTACTACCTCCGAATTGGATTACCGTACCGTTTGCTTTTGGTCTCATCAACTCTGCATTTTCTGGACACGCTGTATTTCCTTCATTATACAGAGATATGGCAAAACCTTGTGACTATAAACAAGTGGTAAATTACAGCTATCTCGTGGCCAGTGTGATTTATATAACCGTAGCTATAAGTGGATATTTGATGTTTGGATCGCAGACTATGCAAGAGGTAAATTTTTCTACAGTATTCTGTTGCTATCCTTTTTATTCATTTTATATACGATCATCTTAGCTAATGATATCGATTTTTCACAGATTACTCAAAATATTATGGCAACTTCTGGTTATAGCTTATTGTTAAATTCTATATTAATATGGATAATAGTGATTAATCCAATTTCGAAATTTCCGCTCACCGTGACACCAATTAATATAAGCGTTGAAATTACACTCTTTAGAATTCCTTACATGCATGAAATATTTCGATCGAGATTTTCAAAACTTCTAGTTATCATATTGTCAAGGTCTTTCGTTAGTTTCATTATTTTCTGTACAGCTGTAATATTTCCCGGATTCGACCGCGCCATGGTATGTACTTTCTCTTAGTCATCTGTTCTAACAGACAGTGTATAACCGAATCTTATTATCCTTTTATCATTTTATTTTGTATGATATCTAATATTCAATTAATTAATTAATTCAACAAAGTCTCTACTCGGTTCTTTCTTCTCATTTCTAATCTCCTCGATATTTCCGTTATTGTGTCATTTGAAGATCTTCGGAAGATGTCTTTCAAAACGGGAGATCATTTGGAATTTATTGTTGCTGGCAATTAGTACATTTATGGCTATATTGGGAACCATTTGGACATTCTTCCCTAGAGAATGGTTAGAATAAGAAACGATTGGTTGTTAGACATGGTACTATATCAGCATCTGTTATCACCAATGGTTATTAAGTCAATTGAAGAATGATGTATTGTATTTAAGATCATGTAAAGTCAAAATTTGATTCGATAATTGACATAAAGAAGTTGACTTCGCAAGTTAATGTGTCTGTTTTGTATGGCTTATGTCTTATCAACTAAGTGTATAACCCATATGTTTAAGATATGATCTACCTTTAACATTGTTTTTTCGAAATACAGTAGTTATAATACACTTGGATATTAAGTTATTGTTTTTTAGGGCTCCTACTCGTAAAATAAAATGCCTAATGCTTCTGAATAAAGCTTATCTATCTTCGTCTTTGATACTGTAACATAAAGTACGTAAATATTAAATAAAATACATTCCTTCTTTTAATAATATTATTTGTTTTGTTATTTCATATTTCAATATGCTGTAGATGGTTTATATCATGTCATTTCTCTTGGATTTTCAAAAATAGATAAATAAAATACAATATTTGCAACACTATATTACAATATGTCGGGACAATAAAATAAAATATTGTTGCATTAATAAAGATTTCTTACTGTAAGTGTCAAATCTCATGTCGATTAAATTAATAAGTCAGAATCTTGCTGTCTGGTGTATTTTATTTTCTTGATTTCTTGTTGATATAAACCCTTGAACATAGAACATGTGAATAGTGATTGTTATAATAGTTGGTTAATTTGTTGTTTTTTTGAGTATTATAATATAATGATAAATTAGTTTAAACAAATTTGATTATTTTTGTTTAAATGGTGTGATGAAATCTAATTGAACAGTTGATAGATGTTAATTAGTTGAAAGGAATAAACTGATGTTAGTTTTTGTAATTAAAAGAGATAATAATGCTTTTAATATCATAATATATATCATCAAAATGAAATCATTTGAGAAAATTGCATTAAAACAAATATCAACTTTATATAAATGAAAAAATAAAGTATATATTACAAATCTTTTTTTATGTAGTTGAACAATAAGCAAGACTTTCAAACTTATATAAACTTTGGCAGAAGTTTTGTTTTATCATATCAGTTGTTTTTAAAACTCTCAAGTTTTTTGAAATAAAGCTTATTTGCAATAAATAAATATATATATATATTTAAATAAAATTACAATAAATATAAATTTAATATAAATTTTATAAATTTTATAAATGTTTTTGTTGTAATATTTGAAAAATTAAAACTTATTATAAAATTTATAATTAAAACTTATAAAATTTATAATCTATATTACAATTTATAATTAAAAGTTAACTATTATTCAAATATATTATTCAAACTATTATTAATTTCAATATTTACAGTATATTATCAAACTGTTTAAGTCATACCTCAATTTAATAAAAGGTTTTTGGTTCCATATCAAATAATTGAATTTTTGGCTATTCTATTTACTGTATTGCAGGGCATATCATTTTGAAGTTTTGAATTGTCTTTGAAATTTCATTAAATGAAGAACTATGTACAGTATATTTTATGTTTTTTAGTTGTTCATTAAAAACAAGCATTAGAGATTTATTACGTAATAAAAATAAACTTTTCACAAATTTTTATCTATTTCTAATAGCAAATCAAATCAATAAAGCAGAAATAGAATATACTAAATCACCATTTATTATATATACTGTATATACTGTATATATATATTGTTGTTGTTATTAATTTTTTGTAAAAATTATGTTCAACTTTCAAAAATACAATGTTTGTTGTTTTATGAGTATGGTGTGTTTAATAATATATGTTTTTTAAATGTATTACCGTAAATAAATAGTCTCGCATTTAATGCCCATTTGCGATAATAAATAAAAATTGTTTAGATGATTACGTTACCGTTACACTAATAATTATTCATAAGCGACAGGATTCAAAAAAAAAATCCAATCCTCAACTCTTTACAATGCCTTTGAAACATGCTCTTCGAATTTCGAAAAGTGCATCGCGATACATACCCAAACCAATTCATCCAACTTCTTCATGCCAAAGTAGATCAATTATATATGAACCGAGAAACTTCCCACATGAAAAGAGCGTGATGCAACTACCACCTCATAACCATAAAATAAATGTATTGCCAACGAAATTTACACATAAAGATTTTGTAAAAATGATGGATCATGGGGTATATTCGAATTTTTTCGTACAGTTGAATGTAAATTCATCGTTTATTCTTCGTAGAAACAGATTCTTATAAAACTTATGTGTTTAAAAGGGTGTCGAAAAAATATTTGATATTAAAAAAATTTATCTTCCAGTTTGGACGTGTTCATTAGCGTTCCAGGCCAAATATGAATTGTATTATTATAAGAGCAACTTTGCAATGTATGAAGAGCTCTTTCATGGCTTAACTGCCACTGGCCCAATCTGCATTCATGGAACTGACAACAATGATTACAAGTAAGAAATTATTACAACGAATCCTAACAACTTCTGACTTTAATTATTGGACTTCAGAAGATACATTATACAATTCTTAGAGACTTGAACTTTCATTACGAGATTCACGACAGTAATTGGCAACAGAAGCCACTAGAAATTGAAGGAACAAAGACGAGATGGAAAATGTTCAAGGAAAAGATGAAGACACAACTTCTTGGTGAAGAGCCTCCGGTAGTTAATTGGTACGATGATCTAAAACCTGCAAGCAACGAAATCTTTGTCCAAGACCCTTTGGACAAGTTGACACCAATTGTGCTGCCCTTCAAGACAAATCCTGTTAATCTTATACTAAAGGCACCAAAGGCTTTTATAGGAAAATTTAATGAACTTCCAGTAAAATCCCAAATGAAAGAGAAAATTACGCAGCCAAAAATTCTTTTATTTGCACTTTACCCTATATACCGACCGATCTATGTTTTCTACGTTCAAGCTCTTGGTTTGCTCCGTCTGGATTCTTTTGACGCGTATCAAGGAACGCCAACATTAACTAATGCTAGTGTTTCCAGAAAATTACTGGAATTTTTTGATTATCCGAACGGGGGTTACGTTGGCAATCTCTATAATGTTCTTGATGCCACTCAAAACTATGTTGACAGCAACATTAATCACCAAGAATTATATTCCTCTCCTATTAATTGGAAATCAAGATATATACAATCTTATCTCGGTCAAGGTATTGAAAATCAGAATTGGTTACGTTTATTCTACCGGACAGCAAGAGCGAGAAATGATGCGTACTTTTCATGGCTAAGATTTCAAATTAAGAATCAATTTTCTTCCAAGGAATATAAAAACCCCGAAGAATATGCACAAAAAGTCCATAGACCAATTCTATGGATTTCTCATTACCGAGGAAATGGTTTTAAGGATCTATTTTACACGACACTGCGGGAACACATGGTTAAGAACACACCCGCATGGCTGAAAAATGTTGATTTCTCGGAAATACCAGACATAAAACCACCTCCCGAGAGAGTTTACGGAGAAGAACGAAAGCAATCATCGTATAGAAAACCGGAAAGAACGGCATATGTAAAAGTAGAACAAAAGGTCAAACATAAGTCAAACCCCAGCTATGAGGAACCTCAAAAAAAATCCCCATCACTGAATAACACAGAACAGTCAGATAAGAATCAACATAAGTCAAACCCCAGCTATGAGGAACCTCGAAAAAAATCCCCATCACTGAATAGCACAGAACGGTCAGATAAGAATCAACATAAATCAAAACCCAGCTTTGAGGAACCTCGAAAAAAATCACCATCACTTAATAGTGCAGAACGGTCAGATAAGAATCAACATAAGTCAAAACCCAGCTGTGAGGAACCTCGAAAAAAATCCCCATCAGATAAGAATCAACACAAGTCAAAACCCAGCTGTGAGGAACCTCGAAAAAAATCCCCATCACTTAATAGCACAGAACGGTCAGATAAGAATCAACATAAGTCAAAACCCAGCTTTGAGGAACCTCGAAAAAAATCCCCATCACTTAATAGCGCAGAACGGTCAGATAAGAATCAACATATTCCACCGAAAAAACCACAGGAATCACAATCACAAAGGCTTCACGATCCCAAAGGCTATTACAAAATTCTAGGATTGGATTATCTCACCTTAATTCCAGATGATGGCATAATTAAATTGGCTTTTTCAAGCACACTGAGGAAGATTGAAAGTGGATATATTGGTCATATGCATCTTTCATCTGAAGAAAAACAGGAAAAAGCCGAGAAGATACGAAAACTAATTGAAGCGAGGGAGGCTCTAATAAAATGTAAGTAGTAAGATAGCATATTTTTAAATTATAACATTCACTTGGTCATATATCACAGTAATTTGTTATTTTTAAACTTTATAGTGGATAAAAGGAAGATTTATAGTGAGAAAAAAATGTAATTTCAATAATTACATTTGTTTGGCATCAACATGACATTTTTTTTTTTCTTGAACATCTCGAAATGATACTCAGGATTAGTACCAGATCCAAAACGATCGATTTTACAGTATAGATAATCGTGTAATAATCTATTATTCACTCCTGAATCGTGGCAAAATAAATTGGATCATAAACAATGGATGAGAACAAAAAAGCAATTCATTCCTAGATATTATATTTTTGACATTATGATTGTTTGAGAAAACCATATGGAGAAATATCAGGTCACTTGAAAGCTATCTCCAAGTATATATTGCACTGATAAGAGAAATAGTAAAAGGATGTAATCTGCCACACAATTGAATCGTAATTAATTGCAACTTAAAGTTGGAGTCCAGTTTTGTTGCAAGAATTCGACTTGGAATACTTACATGTATGTATATTTGACCTTGTTTTTGTTTTCCTTAATAAGGAAAGGAATATGCAAATTAAAGGTAATATTTTTCTTTTTTTCTTTACTGGAAAACCAAGATCGGTTTCCTATTGATTTATTACTGTAATGTATATACTGTGTATGTATATTATGCGTCTTCGTCTCGCGTATTTACACACGCACAAAACAAGACAATGAAATGTCTATAAATAAATATATCGCACACATTATTAAATGTATATTGGAAATAGCAATGAAATAAAAGGAATGTCCAAAAAAAATTATAAAATAATGCAACAAATAAAGTGAAGTCATATGTACAGCAAATGTTATTTCATCTATTTCCAAGTGTAAAAAAAAGAATTCTCAATCGTTCAAATTACGTAAAAAGATGATCATCTTCCTCGTTGACCACATTCTCGCCTCTAATTGTGTCTTTATTGCTACTCTCGCTTCCGCTTCTTCCGTTTCTACCACGACTCAAACTTCCACTGTTGAGGCTTTTACTTCGATTCACACCACCATAACTTGCACCTTCGGCAATTCCAACATTGGCATTTCCATTGTAGTTCGAACCTTGAATGCTAGCAAGGCTTCTATTGATTTCTTCCACACTACGAGCACCTTTTAGACTATGATCTCTATTTAGCATGGTACCGCCTTGTCTTGCCAAATTTCCACCGTGCTTCAACAAGGCTTTGTCGTGACGTATTATGACTTGTTCTAGTTCACTTACGTGGATTCGATCAGAGTTGTCGACAATGGGAGTACTTGAGCCTTTATTATTGGTAATTTGCGATGAGGTTGTACTTATTATCTGTGAGGATGTGTTGCTTATTGTCTGCGAGGGTGTATTGCTTATTGTCTGTGAAGGTGTGGTGCTTATAGTTGTCGAGGGTGTAGCAGTAGTTATGGCGGGTGAAGGTAGGTTCATCATTGGAAAAACTGGTGAATTATAGTTCACGCGGGAAGGTGCATCCTCTCTATCTTCTAGATCTATGCTGAACGTGACACAGGAATTTGATCTTGATCGAAACAACATCGGTACATCACCATCGTTGAGGTCTACATCAAGGGTGGATGGCGTTGAAGGTGAATCTTCGATTACCACGGTCACCACCTCTTCCACAGTTATCTGAGAAATGTGCCCAGGTGGGAACATCTTCGGTGGCGACAGTTCACCGTTAAGGGAATTACTATCCGCGTTCCCTTTAAAACGAGATTTACGAGTATTCTCGACAGACGAGGATAAAGTACCACCAAAATTATTATGCGTCGGGGGTGTGGAGTTAGAGCCGACAGAGGTGCCAGATGATGACCCGTAGCCATCCCACCATCCTTCGTTGATGATATATTGAATCATATTTCCCACACCACCCAGATTTATGGTAGCATCTGTTACGATATAGATCCACATTTCATCATACTATGCGTAAGGAAGGAATCGAATATAAGAAATAAGAAAAGAATTCCAAGTTAAAATGTAAAATCAAAATCACGTGAAAAATCTCTTACATTAATCACTTGACCGAACACGTAAATCATTGGTGGAGTCCACTGAAGCAGGAATATTAGTATGTAACCGATAACCTTCCTGATCACTATGGGTTCAATTTGTTTCGACCTTGTGGCAACAGTGTCCTTGTTATCTCGACGGAAGTTGACGGAGTTTATTTGTCGCAATGTCATGGTATAGGAGAATAAGGTGACGGAGAGGATGGTGAAATTCAGAACGAGGGTTATGATTGGCATTATTGCGTTATTGCGATTTGTGAAACACCTGTGATTTTTTGTATTCAGAAATAGTTTTCATAATGCCAACTCAAAGATGATACGAATGCATACCAGTATTTACTAGTTCCAAAACTTGGAATCCCAACCATGGTGAACACGAATGACAACACCAAGAGAATGGAGAATAACTTGTAGTCGTATTTACCCAGATCAAGATACCATCTCCGACATATTCTCAAGTAGGTGAGCAAAGCCAATGAACCCACAAGGGTCATGTTACATGAGATGAAAAAGAATGTCAAACCACCTATTATGCGGCATTGAGCTTCTGGCCACGGGTGACCGTGGATTAGTGGATATACCTGTTGATTTGATTTGCGAGAATTAGACCGGAGAACTTTGAGAAAGAAGAAAAAAAAAAAAGGTAATACGTGAAATTAACTCACCAGGTTTGGAAGATACGTACATACCAGCACAAAATCTATTAAAGGAAAAGCAAACGATCATTTACGTGTTATTCATAGGTAACACAAAGATGTCAGAAGAATAAGTCAAGTCTCATCGATAAAATTATTTACCAGAGATTGCAATGTAAAAGGGAACCCTCAATGCCATCGACAACGATCTTCGAGTAATCCACCATCGTATAAGTGTTCGAATTATTACATAGGAAGTACAAATACAGCTCAATGTTATTAGGGACACACCCAACGGTAACACTATTTCTGATCCAGGCACTCGACCATTCTGTGTTGTCGAGGGGGATATCGAGGGTAAAGACGTTGTCGAGTATGAGGGAGTTGTGGTCGTCGCTTCGGAGCTGAGATTGCTCATTTGATTAGAGTAATTCGTGAATGATTGTGTGCTGAGAAAACCCAATATATGATGGGTAGGAAAGTTAAAAGGAATGTGTTGTCAATGAGAGGTTTTATGCATAAGTGATTTGAGCTGTCGTCAACTTTATGCTAGTTTGATATCTTTATATATATATGTGTGTGTATGTGTATACGCTAAGCTAAACTGTTTTCCTGTGGATATTGTGGTATTTGTGTATTATATACGTGCTTTTTAATTATGTGCGCGTTTATTTGTGTGATTGGAGAGTTTGGCACGCCTACACGTTATTTTGATAGATGAATATAGAAGGCGGATAAGTGCAGTGGAATTCTTGCGAGTAATTAATCTATCTATTACAAATTAGGCAAAAAGATCACCCACAAGGACCGAAAACTCAATTCGATTGGAGTGCTTATAGAAATGGCATTTTCGTCAAATAATGGAATATTGTGTTGTTATTGATCGAACAATTCTTTGTAGGATCAATTATCTCTTACTAATTCAGCTGATGTCAGGATTTTCGTTTCGATTGGTCAGGCTTTATGAAATTGGTGATAATTAAGTGATCGCACTTTCTTCCAACGTAATAACAACGAAAAGATTTATTTAAATGAATATGGATTTGGAAGGAAAACCGGGAAGTCGTAAATTATATATACGCACGTAAGTAATAGAATACGCAATAAGACGTATTATATATAATAAATTTAAATTTTAGTAACACGTAGATGACATTTAAAGTGCACAAATATTTTCAAATATAGACAATAGGAATTTCTAGATATGAAAATAGAATAAAACTAGTACAAAAAATAAGTGCCAATTCGCTGATGATTATTCTAAAATAGGGTTGCAAAGAAAAACCGTCATTATGCATACTACTATTTTGGACGTCTATGAAAGTCTTTTTTCGGGCGAATTCAATACCGCCACATGTTCACTCATTACGAACCAATTGTAGTTTATAAAAAAGACCAACAGTTGGGGTCAGCCAATGAATGTGAGAAATATGAATTTCCGCATTGGTACAAGAAAGATTCCTGTATTTTTACGTATGATTGCTAAGTAATGAATGATAGGATTTCCAAAGTTCTAGAAGACAAGGGAAAGGCCGCAAATCCCAGCGCCAAAACAAAGATTTTTACATGGCTTCGACAATAATGACAGAAGCAGGTTAAAGAAAGAATGGACAATGATCTACACTAAATTTAGCCCTTCCGTAGAAATAACAATCTTTTGAAACAATTAAACACAAATTTGTCTTTTACAAGTCATATAAAAACATTGTCTTGAAAAAATTTTCCACACGTTTCACTCTTGTCGATTATACTGTTTTATATAGGACCCGGAAAACACGGGCGCCTGAAATATAACGGACAAATTATAAAGTACGCATAAACAATAACGTTTTAAAAAACAATTCTTTATCTGAATTTTTTAAAATCACAATCTGAACTATTCTTTCCGAGATAATTAATATACTCCCTAATTTTGATTTAAATGTCCGTTATGGTGATACATTGCATTATTTTACATTCTTCACATACAGGGATTGTGGCTAAACATTTTACATCTTCACATACAGGGATTGTGGCTAAAAACGTTTTACATTTTTTCACAAGCAGGGATTGTGGCTAAAATAACGTCTTTCTTATTTATGCAGTAATCGTAATAATATGAACGAAATTTTTTCATTAAAAATTAATGCGGAAAAAATGGTTTTTACTGTATATTACTATACTGCGTAATTTGATTTTTTGATTTTTTAATTTACCGTACGTGCATATCAATAATATAAATGTATACGAATATAGTACAGTATACTGTATATTATTTGCTTGATCAACAAATCACTGCTGATAAAAATTATTTATTATGTTTAACTACTGTATTACCTAATTA